CTGGGGCATTAGGACCCACACAGACCACAGGGTGAGCACCCCCTGCTGGCCTCACTAACACCTCTTCCAGCAGCAACCTAGTTTTCCCAGGAGGTCTCCCATCCAGGTACTGACCAGGCTCAACCCTGCTTAGCTTCAGTGGGCAACCAGTCTTGGGCTGCAGGGTGATATGGCTGCCCAATAACATAGTTACATTCTAGTCAGGGTGATATATCAAACAATAAAAAAAAAACTGTGTTAGGAAGAAATTTGTGTTACTTTGGAAATGTAACAGGTTACAGATTACAAGTTACCCTATTTAAAATATAACTATTTCACTATTTCAATTACTTTATTAAAGTAATGTAACAGATTACATGTGGTTACTTTTTGATTACTTTTCCAAATTAAAGTTTTCAATTGTTATTCATTTTCAAACATTTAAAGCAGGCAGGGTTAACCTTACAGTACTACTGTTAGACTTTCAAATCCTTCATTACTTGAATTGATTATAATAATTTAATTTCAAAGCATACCACAAACTGTTTTGCATAGCTATGGCAGGAAACACTGACATCTACAATACCTTGGAAAAAAACAGTTAATCTTAAAAAAATATAGCATATAGGCATACATAAACCCAAATAGGTAATAAAGCAGTTATCAAATAAGCATGTGTCCTATTCTGTGTCATAAACCCCTGAAACATTGGTGTTTCATATTTTGGAGTAGTCAATGCAATTTGGGAAAGAAATCAAATCTGTGTGTGTGTGTGTGTTTATAAGTAACTGTGATTTAATCACATTTTTTCTCAGTAACTGTAACAGATTACAGTTACATTTATTTTGTAATTAAATTATATAACTCTCTCCCCAACACTGCATGTAATATAACCAAGCTTGGGTCTGAGGAAAATCACATGACTACATCCAACAAACATGATTAGATATGGCTATGTTTATGTAGTAATTACGTGGAAATGTATACATTTTATACATTATACATTTAGTGTATACAAGATTTAGAAAAAAAAAATGAATTTTAAATGTGTACTTTTCTTTTTGTTACCTGTCACTGTACTGTCAAATATTACATATATTGACAAATCCAATACTCACTTCATTAAATTAATGAGGGATGCTTGCAGTCATCTGATTTTCAGCTTAATCTGTTGAAATGTTTGATAAAATAATTTTGTGCATGTCACACATTCAGTGTATCCTGATCAGGCCTACCTATTTCGTTTCTCTTGCACTGCTAATTGGACCTAACTAATATAGGACCGACTTAAACTGGAATAAACGAAAATTTATTACAACATGCGTGAAATAATGTTTGTGTCCTTACTGCGACAGAACATATAAGCAACGTTAAAAAAGGACTTTAAATTGTTTTCATCACCATTAGCAAATAATTCCGTGCCGTAGCCTACTTTAGCACAGTTACCATATAAATGATCCAGAGCTATTGGCCGTTATGGGTGTCGTGACCATGCGTCCCGGGGCAGGTGTTCAACAGGTAGGCCTACTGAGACTCAGAGGTATGAGTCTCTCAGGAGGGAGAGGCGCTGGATGTGATAGTGGATGACTGCTCCTTCATTTCTCCACGCCGCGGTGTGCTGCGGAAGAACAACAACACGGCTCTGATTTAACGAACTGCTAGCGGGTTTAATGTTCTGTCTTGATATTTATTCATGTTAATTGTATGGAGAAGAGGTTTGTTTTCATGCGCCGCGCCGCTCCGCTCGTAGGCTGAACGCGACTGTCCGTGAGGGAGGAGCTACCGGACATCCGATTCCGATAAGGAACTACTAGCTTCACTGAACAGGGTGAGAGACGAGAATGTATTAGCGCGTATTAATGTGCATCGTTTTACAGTGAGTGAAAGGGACGGGGAACGAGCGAGGTGAGGCAGCAGGCAGCTGTCTGCCTGTCCTGTCCCCTAGCCGGAGAACCAGATCAGCGGCTGATGCGATCTGAGATCTCCTGGCATTGTTGCTGAGCTGTGCGCAGGAAACGCCGCTGCAAAACACAGGCCTGCCAATGAATGAATGAATGAATGAATGAAATAAGCGCGTCGCGATGCTTTATTGTTTTGTTTAGCGGGCCTTGCTATCATAACCACGAGTGCGCTCTTTTGTTTGTCGCGGACGCTCTCCGGCTGTTGAACTTGCCCGTAGTTCGCGAAAGTGTCATAAAGCAACGTGAATGGAGACATTTTGACACCGTTAGCTCTAGTGTTTCCGTTATAACGGGACTAGATCGTTGTATGCCATCGAAGTGTTTGTCAACACCGCAAAAGAGGCGGGTTTTAATGAGCTTTGTCAATTGCTTGCTGATGGAGTTACACGTACATCACACTGTTAACATGCAGGAAGAAACAGGTGTATTATGTTTTCATGTGGACTTCGGTATTATCTCATCATAGCTGTAATAATTTACCCAAAACCAGAGTGCGAATTCCCGACTCTCTAATTAACTTGGGGTGTCTTAAAAGTGTATGTTCTTCGTACATATCAGTACTTTCAAACAACAGTATTTTCAGTACCGCAGGTTTGCCATGCATTGCCATACATTATGCGAAAATGTAACCTTGATATATTTAATATTGACGAAGTAAGGCCATGTCAAAGATTGAAATCATTGTGAAATTAATAGTTAAAAATCAAACTTTGATGCTTGCTATCTCATTAGATTTTGATACTTTAGCCTGGATTTCACAGACAGGGTCACACATGCATCTATCTATCTATCTATCTATCTATCTATCTATGTCTTAAAAGTGTATGTTCTTCGTACATATCAGTACTTTCAAACAACAGTATTTTCAGTACCGCAGGTTTGCCATGCATTGCCATACATTATGCGAAAATGTAACCTTGATATATTTAATATTGACGAAGTAAGGCCATGTCAAAGATTGAAATCATTGTGAAATTAATAGTTAAAAATCAAACTTTGATGCTTGCTATCTCATTAGATTTTGATACTTTAGCCTGGATTTCACAGACAGGGTCACACATGCATCTATCTATCTATCTATCTATCTATCTATCTATCTATATGATTTGTATACATGGTTTTGTCATTATTATTGAACATATTTTGCCAGGACTGGAGGCCTGTTTTCCAGTATGACTGCCCTCAGGCAGAGGAAGGGCAATAGAGGGAAGGACCCGGGGCCCAGCGTTCAGAACCTGAAGCCTGATTGTACAGCTGAACCCAGAGAGAGGTTTGCAACAGGTCAGTGCTGTTTGTTGCAAAAGTAGATACCATTGAATTCAAAGGCATAGTTCACCCAAAAATGAAAAAAATGTCAACATGTTGTGAAGCGTGCCGTAAGCATGTGTGTGGAACTCACACAAGAAGTAATGCGGAAGCACAGAGGACTGTCACTGGATTCTTTTCACATTTCCAGGTTTCTCAGGAGCGGAAGTTGTCATATTTGGATAAGCGTTCATAGTGCTGAATTTGAACACTACATCAAATATATTTTTTTGCATTACTATTTACTCCAATAGTAAAAGAAGAAAAAAATCCACAATAGGGTTTTCATGACTGTATTAAAAAAGGAAAAGAATAGAGAGAAATTGATTATGGCTGTCAGAAGAGAGAACAATGTCAAATTTACTGTCACTTGCATAGCCGCTCCATTAGAAACACCCTCAAAGCTGTTAACTATTTTTTTTCTTTGTAATTTCATGCAAAGGTGATATAATACAAAGTGTAGTGTTAAAAATGTACATATATTTAAAAAAAAAATGAAAATATGAAAAAAAGCTTCATGACGCATTATCACAGTCTATAAAAAGGGTCCTTTGTTGTACGAGCATATGTGACTTTTCACAAATGGCTGATGTTTACGTCAAGCATGAACTCATGAACATGGGTATGACAGTTATTTTTCTCCCACACACTTATCACTTCGCTTTAGTAGAAATTTCATATGGGTTACCGTCGTATTCACTTTAAGTATTTTTTTTTTTAAGCTTTAGCTATATGGACTCAGAGATAGATAGTTTTTCTAAAAAAACTTAATTTGTGTTCATCTTTAAAAAAAAATTCACATAAACCTGGGACAACATGAGAAATTAATTTTTCATTTTTGGTTGGAGTATCACTTTAAGATCATGCCAGAACCTTGAGATATGAATATCTACATGCAAAGTATTTAAAGTTTGATCATGTGTCAGATTCAAAACACTGATTTTTATACATAAATTGTCATATAATTGTAATCATAGATCTCTGTGCATGTCTCTCCTCCTGTTTACCATGTTTATTGTTTAATATTATGGTCTGGGTAATATTGTTGTCATTCTCTCCAGGTGGTTTCTCATGGTGGACAATCTTGTGTGTAATGACTGGCTCAATAGTGGGAATTAGTCTGGGCTTGCTTTGCTGCATCTATGTGGCTACACTTCATGAAAATGACCTCTGGTTCTCCAATATAAAGGTAAAGTCCAGAGCTTTTTTATGTTCAGTGTCCTGAAACAGTGAATATCCAGAGACTCAGGGAGACAACCTTCCATTGTGATTCATTTTCTTTTCAGGCTTTGAAGGATTTTTAGTGTTCTTAGGCTATGCTCCTAATGTAAACAACAGCTCAAGAGATCTAGATTCATAATGTGTGCTTGCGTTTCGTCAGTGATGGTGTTCTTGTCTGTCTAATTTTTCATGCATTTCCTCTTGAAAAGGAATTGTTTTCCATATGTGCTGACAGATTATTTTTCTTTCCCTCTGTGGCGTAACAGGCACATAAACAGTTAGCCAGAGTTTGGGCTGCAGATCACGTTATGACTTCCAGACCTGAAACAGATGAAACCACCATGCCAAAAAAGTTATGTCATGTTCAGAAATCAGCATGTCCCCGTATCCCAGTTCGCTCATTAAAATAATACAGATCAGGAGTAGTTTAACCACATCTCCCAATCAGTGCAAGATTTACTGCCGCCGGTTTTGCAATAGGGTTAGTTTAGTTTATGTATTTATTTATTTATTGTGCAATGCAGTTTGAGAGCAAGTGTCTGTGTCTGTGTGTGTGTGTGTGTGTGTGTGTGTGACTTGCGTCTTTTGTTGGAACCAAGGCCTAGTTTTCATTTAGTGAATCTAACAAGAGCCAAACCTGTGCTGCTTTCATGTGAGCTTTGAACATTTTGTCCTCAGATTATTTTGTTTCTCAGAACATAATGTATCTCACAAAATTGAATATGCACCACACTTCATAACACCAGATAAGAGTGCTTTTTTCTCAATGTGTTTGCAGGGTATTTTTAGACTTGCAATGTCTTTATTTTGTATGCTTTCAGGCATACTTAATAGTCTAAAGAACATGTCGAATAATTACTGTATCCTGGACTAGCCCCCTGATTACAGTATGTTGCATTTTTCATCTAGGTTAAAGATGCAACATAAAGTGGACAGGGTAAACTCATCGTTCCAAACCCAATTTTTGGAGGGCTTTATCGCTAAATAAATGCACCAGGTTCAGATTGTTAGTAGAGGGTCTAAGACAAAATGGGTTGCAGATAAGGGGACATTGCTGTAAAAGTAACCAATGGACATATTAGAGTCCTATTCAAAAAATTTTTAGCATGTGGAATGGAGAGCACAAAAAGGTAATCTCAAGTTTAAAATGAAGTCAGAGTGTGACAGCAGTGGAAAAAGGAAGCTCATGCATGCTGGCTGGTATTTTACTGCTTGCTTATGAGTCATCTTACTTTTATCTGTACTTTTGCTTTTCTGAACGTGACTGGAATGATGACTGAATGGATGACCAGAGTTTCTGTCCCCATGTGTTTCTTTCATTCTCCGGATAAAAAACGCCTCCATGACTGAGCGAGCATTTGATTGTGCTTTATTTGCAGGCAAATGAATCACCTGTTCTGTTTCAGAGGGAGAGCTGTGGGAATGTCCACTGGTTAACAGCTAATCAAATGTTGCAGCAGAAAGCTCCATTAGAAGCGCAGACAGATTCCACATTGTTTTTCTAATCGTTTCCACTCTTTCAATGGGAAACAGCAGTAAATTTCAAAGAGGCTGTGTAAATGTTCTCAGCAGGAGTTGGTTTTCCAGTATACTTAGCTTCGTAAATGACGATATTGCCATTATTTTTTGAACAAAGGCATTTGAAGTCCAGTATGTTCCTCTTCTGGGACACCACCCTAAAGCGGCAGACAGCTGCATTTGGGACGCTTTTAAATTCATTGCGTGTGAAGTCATGCCCATGTCGGTTATAGCGCCACACAGTCTTAATTTCAAACTGGATGTCATTCTATTGTTAGTTCAAATAACTGTTTTTACAAATGTTCTTAATTTTTTTTCTAAATGATGTTCAAGCGTTTTTCCCCCCAATCTTTTTATGTTTTTTCCCCTTGACTACCAAGAGGTCACAGTTGTGCGGCCCACATGCCTTCCTTCCTGTCTCAGCCCCTCTCTCTGATCACATGTAAAATGTTCCTCTGACAGATTGCTGTTTGGTGCCGACCGGAGCTTAGAATGATCTCATGAGGTTTTGTTTTATTGTTTTAATACATGTGCTATGAAGTTTTTGGGCAAGTAACTCTGGAAAGACAGATAAACAAAAGAGCTTGCGGTCTCAAACAGGGAAAGACAGAGGAACCTTCAAGAAAGGCAGGGAAGACGGAGGATAATAATCCTTGAGAATGAAGGTTCGTCGCAAGAGGAATAGCAATTTGGATGATAACTCAGGGGCCGCCCAGGATAGACCACCTTTGCTAAACTTTGGGGGGAAAGACAATCCGAGGGAGTACAAGAGTGGGCAGAAGGGCACAGAAGAGAGTGTAAAGCTTTCATGGAATCACATTCCAGGACAAAACTGTTGGCCGGCTGCTGTCATAGCAGCAGGATTACTGTTGGCAGGGGCAATTGGGCTGTTTCATGCATGGTGTGTTTATTCTATACACGAAAACCTGCTGTGGTTTTCACAGTTAAAGGTAAGCCAAAGAAGAATCTGTCTCCATTTTTGTTTGCAAGAATGTTGCTAAGAAACATTGTTAAACAAAGTGAATGTGAATGTAAATGTGCGCTCTTTGTATCAGGAGTAGTAGACTTGGTCATTAGGTCATTTTCTTTTCAACCAGTTCTCGTTGTGTTATCTTCCATTGTTATTGTTGCTTTCTGTTTTTTTATACTTTTATATCTTAAAATTGCCTCTTTGTATTTGAGTTTTTCTGAAAAAAAAAAAGAGCGTTAAAGCTGTTTTATGAATAAAAATAAAAGTGTCGTCTTCTCAAACCAAATTTCATATGACTCTAATCTTTGTGGAGCATATGGATCTTTTTGTCTGAAAACCACTTCCACTATAAAACACCACCATATTTACAAAACCTGTTTTTTTTTCTTCCTCAAGGCTTTTATTGCGAATGAAATCTCTGTTTATTCTGGTCAAGATAGCTGCTCTGATTTCTTTCTCAGATTGGAAATGTATTTCATTTTAACACCATTTACTCCTTTTGTGCTTCTTGTCATAGGTCATTTTTACTGAATCTTATCCTCTCTTCTTGCATTTGTAGGAAGTCGAGCGTGAAATCTCCTTCCGGACAGAATGTGGCCTTTATTACTCCTACTACAAACAGATGTTGAAGGCGCCTTCTATACAGCAAGGTACTGAAATCTAATTCACAAGACAGGTTTACAGGTTATACGATCACTCTTGCGTCATGTCATCTTTCTGATGGAACACTGATGTTAAAGTCCTTGGGTTTTCTTTTTATGTAAAGAAAAGTGTTCCTGAGGCTCAGTGGTAGAGAATTGCGTTAGCAGCACAAAAGGTCGTGGGTTCAATTCCCAGGTAACACACATACTGGTAAAAAAATGTATAGCGTGAATGCACTGTAAGTCGCCTTTGGATAAAAACGTCTTCTAAATGCATACATAAATGTAGAAATATTGCTCCTATAGGACAGTGGTTCCCAATCCTGGTCCTGGAGAACCCCAAACACTGCACAGATGTTTCCCCAATCAAACGTATCAGCTCATTAGTAAAGACTCCAAGACATCAAAAGTGTGTGTCAGATAAGAAAGGCATCAAAAACATGCACTTTTGGGGGTTCTCCATGACCAGGATTGGGATCCACTGCTATAGGGAAAGTATTATTTCATCACCGTCTTTACTTATAAGAAATTTTCAGATATGTACATGCTTGATTCCATTTGTGTTTTTCCCTTTTAGTTTATTTAGCTCAGTCCAAAATGCCAAGTTTCTTGTCTGCTTTCTGTTATCACTTATGTAATCTGAGAGCTATCAAAGGAATGCTTCATTATATAACCATATCAGTGTGACCGGTCTCAGAAAATAGAGGAAATGTACAACTTTGCTCTAAGTGGTCTTTGCTCAATCTAATTGGCCTAACAGCCCCATTTGGAATGGATTCTCTTTGTGCTTCTACACTGAAAAACATCACAATTAGGTCATTACCCATTGAGACTGAAATGGTAAGAACCGCAGCGGTGCCAAAAGCTGTTCTCTAGACCCCACAATTGGACCTTTGTACTTATAGTAGAGTAAAAGCATGTTAAGAGCATTGCTTTTCTATTAAGCAATCTTAGAAATCGATTACTGTAAAACGTCACAGCTGTAGTAGCCTACTACATGTGATAAAGTAGGTTGAGGTTGTTTAATTTTGGAATCCACTTCCATTATACCATTTAGTGGAAATTTTGTCCTGCATTTACAATAATGGAACCCTTTCAAATTAAAGTGTCATTGCCTGCAAATGAGCTCTAATTGTTATCTAAGCCATACTGCTATACAAAGGCAAAATATAGTAACTACACATTTTGTCAAAATACTAGTCTCTTTGACTATGATCTGTCTGTGACAAATGGGTTAGGCTCAACTATGTTTCAAAGAAAACTGATTGTGAGACTGATACTAAAAGCAGTCAAAATTTAGCCAAATAAAATGTTCTATATTTTAGTGTTGATGTAGATATTGTGCTTTTCCTTTGTAAGGCAGCATAGTAAACACTGAAAGAAAAATAATTTTATGTCTAAAGCACAGGACTGTCACTGCTGCTGAGCAATCAGTTGTTTTGTGTGATTTACATACTGTTGTCTACACAGACAGACAATAAGGTTAAATAAAAATCAGTGCTTTTATTATTTTTTTATTATTTAGCAGGGACACGTATGAAAAAATGAATCACAGTTTCAACAAAAATATTAAGCACCACAACTGTTTTCAAATTTGATAATAATAGGAAATGTTTCTTGAGCATTAAATCTGCATATTAGAATGATTTCTGAAGGATCATGTGACAGAAGACTAGAGTAACAACTGCTGAAAAAAAAAATAATAATAATGGGGTGGGGGATACGCTTTCAACTTGTTTTTTTAGTCTCGAGCAAGACTGTACGACATTCACATTACATGATTTGACTGATTTTTTACGTAGAAAGGGCGACAGTGCACTGCATTAAAATAAATGATCATTCATGTTTTCATAACCGCTGGCCAAATTCAAAAACGAAACTAAAATCAAATCATCTTTGAGAGCAAGGGGGGCCCCTGGTGTTTCAGGGGCCCTACGCAGCTTGCATATTCTGCGTATAGGGAGGATCGGCTCTGATTTTAGTGAATCTTGCATAGCTGCAGTACTACAAAATAACATAATTCATCAAATTAACCAGTTTAGCTTCATACTAAGTGATAAGAGTCAAAGGGCCAGATTTAATAACAGCTTGCACCAGTGCAAACCATCTTTTGGTGTTAAAATAGTACTGTCAGGATTTACTTAAGACGCGCAGTGAAGAATTAGGGCTGAAAAGGCGTGGGCACAGTTATTTTTTGCGCCTGACCTTATTGAATATGCATTTGTAGGAGTTTTCCTTTCAGGCGCAAAATTTATGGGAGTAACTGAATCATGCAACGTGATTTACTAACGTTTGCGCTCGTCAAATTACTGGTATTTGCGCCATTATTTAACGCCCCAAAAAAGCATGTCTTAAACTATTTTGCACCTGTGTCGTAAGTAGACCACCCGCACCTGATGAGCATCGGCTCTGCTTATTTGCGACTACGCTAATTTGCGCTTGGTACATTGCGTTGATCGATATGTAAATAAGATGTTGCGTCTGCGTTCTTTAATTTGCACGTTGTCAGTAAATCACCCGCAGAAATTTCCACGCCCATCGGCGGTGATTTGGAATTGCGCTCTTGTACTAATTTGCCCTGTTTAGCCAATCTGGCCCAAAGTTTATTTGTGCAAATTTTGACTTTTTGTAAGTTTACCAGGTTTGTGTGTGTTCTTGTGTTCACAGGTCTTTATGAGCTAATTCATGACGACACTACTGAATCAAAGAGAACAATAAACATCCTACAGCGTATGAATATCTACCAAGAAGTGTTCCTTAGCATTTTGTACAGAATACTTCCCATCCAGGTGTTCAGTCACTTCTGTTTTCTTTGTAAGATGCATGGATTCTCTTGGGCTTTTGCAGAATCAGCTTATTTTTCCCATTGTGTATGTATGTGTGTGTCTGTTTGTTTTGCAGACCTACTTGGAGCCAATTTATTTCTACATCTACACAGTGTTTGCTTTGCAGACAGTGTATGTCATCGCCCTCTTTATCACTAGTTGGTTACTCAGTGACTCCTGGCTGGCTGGAGCCCTCAGTGGAGTCTGGTACATTCTCAACAGGTGTGTGTGCACAATCAGTCTATCATACACACAAAACTCACCTTTGCAGTCCATCTGGTGTAAATCGATGCTTATTATGATGCAGTGTGCATCTCAATTCAGGTAAGTGTCAAAGCCGATATGTTTCTCAAAATGTGAATTGAAACTCTCAAGGACAGCACTAAAATGAAATTTGTCATTTAGGGCTCTTTTTATTCAATACTACAGGCACAGGCACCTGATAGGATGTTCCCCCTGGAGCAGTATTAATATTTAAGAAACAATCCATTCCCACACCAGACTATTTGTCGAGCTGATTGGGAAGCTCAATCAAGCAGCACAATGTTTTGATTGCACCACAAAGTTTACACATTGTAGGAAATCAACTTGTGAATGGCTTATTTATAGTTGTTCCTACGTTGTAGAAAATACTGTAGCATTGAAAAAATAACACTTTTACAACTCTTCACTTTTTTCTTATGTTTTCTTTTCTGACAGCTTAAGCTTGTGTTTTCTGTGTTTGATTGCATACTTGATTTGTGTGCAGAGTGGACACCACACGCGTGGAGTTTACCATCTCACTAAGGGAGAACTGGTCAATACCTTTCTTTGCTCTTCAGGTGGCTGCCATAACCTGCTACTTAAGGCCACAGCTAAAACCTATTCACCAGGTAATCTTATATCCTGATCAATTTAGATGTCTATTCCATTACTATTTCAGATTCATACTTTAACACAAACCAGTTCTTTCTGACAATTTGTGTCAGTGAGCCAGTTCAAAAAATATTCAACATTTCTTTTACATCGTCACTAAATTAATTATCACTAATATGTAATGCTGTCATCCTGGCAGGCGAAAATACATGCTTCAACACTGCATACATAATACTCAGTAGTAAAATTATTTTCATGTCTTGACTAAACAGTTTTTACATATTATAATAAGACGTTGTTTAAAGGGGTCATATGATGCGATTTCAAGTTTTCCTTTCTCTTTGGAGTGTTACAAGCTGATTGTGCATAGATAAGATCCCTGAAGTTGCAAAAACCTAAAGTCTCAAAACCAAAGAGGTATTCTTTATCAAAGTTAAGACTCTGCCACACTCCCCTAAAACGGCTCATTCTAACACGCCTCCACATATCTAGGTCACTTTGTGGGAATATTTGCATAATGTGCCCAAATGTGCACGCAAAGAAAGAAGGCGTGGTTTCAGTAACCGCAGTTAGTGTTGAAGCAGCCATGTCAGGGAGACGCTGTGTGTTTCTAGGCGAAAGCAAAAGCACTTTATTTGGCCTTCTGAAAGTAGATGCATTTAGGAATCTTTAAGATTTGTAAGTGCTATAACAAGTCTCAGTTAGCTTAACGCAGTACACATAGCAAGTTTTTTTTTTATTATATAATAAAAAAAGAAAACGGATAGAATAGAAAAAGAATAGAGCAAGCTAGTGGTAGAGGCCTTTTTTTGCTTTTGTTAATTGTATAATAAATAAAAATAAACAAATAGATAGAATACAAAATGATTAGAGAAGCTAGTGTTTTTTTAAAGAATACAAGCAGTTGTTATAGGGTCAAATAAAGATGGAAGAGATGTGTTTTTAGCTGATTCTTGAAGATGGCTAAGGACTCATCTGCTCAGATTGATTTGGGCAGGTCATTCCACCAGGAGGAAACAGTTAATTTAAAAGTCTGTGAAAGTGATTTTGTACCTCTTTGGGTTGGCACAATAAATATTACTTAAAAATAAATAAACAATATTTATTTTAAATTTAATAAAATAAATAATGTATTTTATATATAAAATAAATGCATATACTATGCATTTGTTTTTAAAGAAACTTACCTTTCACCCCCTCATTCAAGTCCTTGGTTCATGCATGCTCATAGACCTTAGGTTAGACACCATACTGAATTTTATGCAGATGAAAACCAGGATGTGAGGGATAGATTTATAGGGCCAGTTTTACTAAACAGGGCAAATTAGCACGAGAGCGCAATTCCAAAACCGTGCCGATGGGCGTGGGAATTTCTGCGGGTTATTTATTAACAATGCGCAAATTAAAGAACACAGACGCAACATCTCATTTACATATCGACCAACGCAATATACCAAGTGCAGCGCAAATTAGCATAGTCACAAATTAAGAATAAAGAAATAAAGAAGCCATAGTACGTTGAAAAGGACCGGAGGCCAAAAAATGAAGGTTTGCAAGAAGTTTTTGATAGAGCTGGTATGGTAGTGCGTGACTCCTAGTTGGGGGTTCCAAGTCGTCTTTTATTTCTTGAAGCAAATTAAAAATAACACGGCTTGGCATTTGGCAAACGATATGTTTGGACAATATGTTCTTCTTGCTTTCTAAATAAATTAATACATGTGGAAAAAATCCTCTCCCTTTTACACGCGCTCTCTGTTCTCTGCGGTGCCGCCTCCCAGCAACAATAATTGCAACCATTTCAAGCGCAAAATAGTTTAAGACAGGCTTTATTTGGGTGTTAAATAACGGCGCAAATACCAGTAATTTGATGAGCATAAACGTTAGTAAATCATGTTGCCTGATTCATTTGAATACTTTCCTCCCATAAATTTTGCGTCTGGAAGGGAAACTCCTACAAATGCATATTCAATAAGGTCAGGCGCAAAAATAACTGTGTCCACGCCTTTTCAGCACTAATTCATCACTGCGCGTCTTTAGTAAAACCTGAAGATAGTCTTTACAATGGCACATGCTCTATAAAGGTCCTACAGTACACCCCCTACTTTTCACAACTCACAACTTTTAAAACTGCTTTATGAAGTTTTGTCTACAGAGTTTTTTTTTTTGTTTGTTTTTTTTAATTGAACAATCAGCTGAACAATTCACATGTTGTTAAACAACAGTGCAATCCATTGAACACATTATACTTCTAGCCATCACGGCCTTGTTTTAATTTCTATCAAAAATTAAATATGCCACTACCCTGACTAAGGTCTATAATTTCAGCAGCTCACTCAATAAATATCTGCAATGCAGACATGTCCAAGTCCGAGACTGTTCTCAGTTCAGCTAGTGTAATGTGACTTGGGAAATGTTGCAACCATTTGTTAAATTTGACTCTCAAGAACTGTTGACTTGAGAACTACTGTCACCAGATGACATGAGCGAGATCCAAAAATGTGCCACCAGCATCACCAAATGGAAATGGAAAAATATGTTTCTGAACACTCCCTCTGCCTTCAGGTATTTGGATAAACCGATAACCCTGCCCCAAATTCAAACTATTGGTTAAAACAGTGTTGCTGTGTCAAGCTGGGGTGCGTTTCCCAAAAGCATCGTTAGCTAACTATGGTAGTTATTTCCACTGAAATCTTTTGGTAACGACGGAACTTGCGACCATAGTTGCTTTTGGGAAACGCACCCCTGGTTGGGATGCTCAAACAGTGAAATGTTGGCCTTGTTCCAAATGGCACACTTTATGTGCACTTGTACTCTTGCAGACTCACAGTGGCCGCCATTTACCCATGTTCACCAAAACTGTAGGGTGTCCCGTTTGTCTAAGGCGAGCTCCACTGCAGATTTCTACCCAACAGTCAAATCAGCATTACATCACAAAAGTATGGGCTCTGAGGAAGACTGTGAGGGCGTAGGGTGCCATTTGGGACAGGACCGTTGTGATAGCACCACAGAGCCACAGTGTTTACAATTTTCAGGGAAATGAATCTAAAAATGGCTTACATTGCATTATCTCCGTATTAGAATGAGATAGGAGAAAGAATCAGAAAAAATGACGAACTTCAGCTTTAAATAAATGTAATCCAGTTAAATAAGTCAGTCAGTTTTGTTTACTCAGGCAAATTAATGAAAAATGGCAAATAATGAAAAAAAGAAAATATGACTTGAAGAACTGAGAAAATACGAGACAGTACGTTGTGATAAATATGACTGCTTGCTGCTGTTGTGAAATGGTTTTATGAAACATGAAATGGAGGTTAGCAATTGCAAGTGTATGTGTGAAATATTTACTCTGCCGAGCACATATTTGTTCTCTCTCAGTATGTTCTCTCAGCACAGACTCTTAATTGCTTTCCTGACATATGGTATATCACTGGAAATATTCTCATTGTATGAGCTCTGAAGAAAGAACAAGGTTTTTGTATGTTTGGTGATTAGAATTGAACATTGTTTTGCGTTCATGTGCTTTCTACCACAGAGGGTGGTACTGTGGCTGGTGTTCGTCTCCACCTTCTGCTTCTGTTTGACATGGCAATTCAATCAGTTTGTCCTGCTGGTGCAGGCCCTTATAATCTTTACTCTGGATTGCCTGGACTTCCTCACAGCGGAACAGGTAACACTCAAAGACACATTTGAGAGACTTTCCACCTTTTGAAGTTCATGTGAGGCTGGATATTAATTTCTTTCTGCCTGTAGGTGGTTTCTCTGTACCTGATGCAGGTGTTGAGTCTGTTATTGGTGTGGTTACTGCAGTTCTGCAATTCTATGATTCTGGGCTCTCTGGTGCTCAGCTTCATTGTGTCTGCCCTCTTCATCAAACACTTCCAGGTCAGTGAACATTAAGTTGGGAAAGTAAGAGCATAAAACCATTTTTTGTATGTATTTATCTATTCAATATGTGTGTTTTCATCCAGGGTGTGTAATTTTTAGCATGTGCTCATCTGCAATACTGTAGTCTCTAAAGCAGCGGTGGCGAACTCCGGTCCTGGAGAGCCGCAGCCCTGCAGAGTTCAGCTCCAACCCTAATTAAAACTGACCTACCTGTAGCTTTCTAGTAACCCTTCAGACCTTGATTAGATTGTTCAGGTGTGTTTGATTAGGGTTGAAGCAAAACTGCAGGGCTGCGGCTCTCCAGGACTGACGTTCGCCACCCCTGCTCTAAAGCATTTTGTCAGATCTTAGAATGACATTAAGCAGATCTCCTTGTAAGGTTTATGGTTTAGACTGTACTGAATATGTTAATATGCTCCTTAAAGATTATGATCAAATGTTTGTACACAAATCTGATTACAAACAATCTTCAAATTTGTTTACTTTATTTGAATAAGTGGTGAGATGGAAAAAATGACATGTGAAGCAGTTAGATGTAAAGCATCTTTTTTTTTTTTTGTTACAGGCTCACTAATGTCATTTCTCCTAATAGTCACATGTGCTCATTGATATTTCCTGTATAATGAATTAGGCCTAGTGCAACTAAATAAATGATGTATTAGGTCAGTTCCATGTGATGGCGATGTCTAAGTGCAGTAGGCACACTCATCACTATGAACCGAAAGCAATTACTTTAAAGAGATTTCCTGAAAACGCATCCCATCCGTTTTAGACTAAAAAATGTTTGCATGAGACACTTCATCACTTTTGTTTTCTTGCCCAAGCTTTATCTGTGTTCCCTAACACCCAGTTCTATTTTGATTGAAAACTGAGGCTAAGAATGGTGTTGTAGTTTATTTATTAATACCTGCTGTGTGCATGTGTGGCTTTCAGACGGGACTAAAGACGGGCGGCTTTGTCATACGAGTAGGAAAACTGGCTCTTCACACACTCCTAGTCCTCACATTAACTTTCACCATCAATTATTCAGCCAAGGTGAGCTATGAATCGTGTTCTACATCATCCGCCCTGTCATTAATGATAAAATAGAGCTTCTCTACCGTCTCCTCCTGAGACACTAGCTTTGCTTTCACTCTCATTGTCTTTCTTCATATCTCACTCTCATAAAAACCCACATCCCCGATCTCATGAGACACTTACTTGAATGATTTCATCCATCACTCTCTCCATTTTAATTGACAGAAAATACTCCAACTGAAATCCGATGAGCACATCTTTAAGTTCATAAAGGCCAAGTTTGGCTTCGGGGCAACGAGGTAAGTCTTTGGTCATCTCTTGTGGCGCTACATCTAAGCCTTTTATCATCAGTCAAATGCCATATCGTGGTGTCTTATTCAGAAGTGAGATCTACTCCGAGACTAGAGCGAGCCATTAATCCGCGTCCAGCTCTGGTGGAAAAATAACATCTGGCACACAATATAATCTGCTCATCCACTAGATATTTATGAAGCCATTTCAGATGATCGGATGAATGGCTGCTCCCAATAATCTGTGTAATATATATCCTGCCGCCCGCACTCCCTCCCTGCCTCTTTCTTTCAGAGACTTTGATGCCAGTCTCTATCTGTGCGAAGAGGCTTTTGGCTTGTTGCCATTGGATACATTTGAGCGGTTGGCTGGCACAGTGCTGCTCTATCCGTATCTGTGCACACTCAGTGTGCTCTTCATCTTGCTGCTGCTGGTGGCACTCTCTAATCTCAGGTAAAACTACCGCATCACTTCCTCTCTGTGGGAAATGCTCAGGTGCACTACCATGCCGTATGCTACGCGTTAACGAGACGTGTATCTGGGAATTTAAATATTCTCATAATGTTAATTTTTCTAATTAGAGCACAAAAATGGGCTGAAAAAATGACCAACAGAGCAGTGATTATAGCTTCATAACCACCTTGTCCACCACAGGTCATAATGCTAATTTACAATTAGAGTTATTAGTCTTTATTAGATGTGCTACACAATAATTGGACACTAGATGTAGTTTTTTCATTAGGGCTTTTAAATCTGTTATTATGTTCAGTTCAAAGCAGATTTGCTGTTGCTTTAAGGTCTGCTGTGGCCCTCTTTTTTGTTCTCTTTTCTTATCAGAATCACAGGAGCCCATAAACACCCAGAGGCTTTGCACCACACACACACACTAATCAGATAGGCTGTTAACCCTTCTAGACTTTTAAGAAAGCACACACACCCTTGAACTCTGAATAATACAGCTGTTATTATGTTTTAATGTGTGGTAGTATTCTTGTTTGATTCCTAATTCTTCATCCCAGCACAAATGGGTCAGGCCAAGCAAGCAGGGAGAAAGAGGACAGGACCTTTAGGATACGTCCGGACGTCGCTTACAATCTCTTGCACACCGTCTTCTTCGGCCTGCTCGCCTTTTCCACTATGAGGTAAACAAGTTGTAAATTGGAAAATTTCGTTGCTTTCATACCACATATCTCTTTCCCTCCATGCAAATATTTTCCTTCTGTATTTTTCTCACTCTACCATCTGTAATTTCATTCCCTGCTGCTGCTGCTATGGTGCATCTCAATTTCAACCTCTTTTCTGCTTCCACTTTCATTTCCTGTCCTCCACACCGCTTCTGATTTGTGATCTTCTTCATCTTATTAGTCCGTATCCCAAGTTGACGGTTCATTCGAGATTTTAATGATGAATGAATTATGCTAGAACATTGCGATATCGCTTCATAAAGTTTAGTTTTGTGTCAGAATAGTAATAGAGTTGAAAATGAATGCTGTTCGAGTCTTTCATGTTTGCAGTGTGTTGTCTGAGCTTTATGATAGATTTCTATCTTTGCTGCTGGCAGAATGAAATATTTGTGGACTGGCCACATGTGTGCTTTCGCTGCCTTTGGGGTGTGTGGTAAGGAGGTGTGGTCGTTGTATCTGAGGGTCCTTCACTGCAACACTAAAACCACGGTGAGCCACTGAGATCTGTCACACAAACATACATTTACATTACATTTACATTTAGTCATTTAGCAGACACATACATTGTAAATGAGAGATATTGGCAATAGCATTCAAAAGTTTGGAAAATGTCAGTAAAAACAGCAATGAAATATTATTACAATTTAAAATAACTGTTCTATTTTAATATATCTTACGTAATTTATTTCTGTGATGGCAGCCATTACAACAGTGTCACATGATCCTTCAGAATTCATTCTAATATGCTGATTTGATGCTCAAGTAAAATTTCTCATTATTATCAATAATACTTCTTTGATGAGTAAAAAGTTCTAAAGCATTTATTTAAAACATACGTATTTTGTAATAGAAATGTCTGTACTGTCACTTTTGGTCACTTTAATGTGTCCTTGCTGAATAAAAGTTTTCTAAAAAAATCTTACACAAAACTTTTGAATGCACACATAAACGCATTGTAGAGGAGAAAGGTCTTTCAGACCTCGTGGACAGAAGTAATAAGAAGTAACATATTTCAGGATATATATTCTGTATAAATATGACTGTCTAATGAAAAACAATGTTTTCCAGTGAAACTTGTCTCATGTTAGAGGTATGTTGTGTAATGTGAGAGGAACACATGAATAATTTACATTTCATATAAAAGTCGCTTACTAATGCACAGTCCAATTCCAAGTCTTATCTCTCTGCATATTATTCACATTTTCATAAAAATGTTTTCCTAAATCAAAACATGTTTTCATAAAAAAGTTTAACGTTTTTGTAAGTTTAATGCAGTTAGTGCAGCAATTTTCAACATTTTCTAATAATATTTCTTGCATTGGCTGCAAAGCTCACAACTTTCTCACAGTATCTTACCCCAAAGCATCAGACACACTTTGCTTCCCAGCAACTATTACATGACTATGTTGCCGATTCACCAACATAAGCAACATTTTTTTTTTTACATTTTTGTTTGTAATGTTACAAATTTACTGTCTGTTTTTCTCGTGCACTTCTATATGTTCATATAACAAATAGGTTTGGTAGATTAAGGATACAATAGAGTTTACCCAGTTTACCCTGCTCTCCTCTATACTCAATACAAGCAATAGCAAAAAAACATGGGTCTAATAATAAAATTCAGCACGTATGAAAGCCCACGGTTATCACATATCGCTATATACAAATGTAATTTTGAAGCTGTAATGCTCAATGTTATGAAATAATATTGAGTTTCAGTAAGGAATGGTTTACTTTTTTCAGCATAAATGTGCAAATGTGCACACAGCTGAACATTTCATTTCCCCACTAGGTGGCAATGTAGTTACAGCCCTCGATCATAAACCATTACGTCCTGTTTCTTCCCATTTATATGGTTATTTATCCATTTATGTTATTAATCTGTTTCCACAGATGAGACTGATCAGGTACTCTGTTCCTATTGTAATACTGGCGTTTCTTTATTACAAGGTAAGACATTTTCAGCTATGCTGTCATGTATCTATTTGCATATATTGCTAAGCTGCCTGGGTCGCTGTACGCCATAAACAGTCACGCAGGAATCCTAGTGCACGTAAATGGAATTCGTATCACACTGTGTGTGTTATTTAGGAGAGTTCTGATTCCACAATGCTATTTTTTTCTCTGTTTACACAGCAGTGGGAATGAGCAATCAGATATGAATTGTGCGTTTGTATGTTTGTGTATTTGGATGTTTGTTGGGCTGCTTTGTTGATCATTGGTTGTTGTGAGTTATTCCCATTACAGCAGTCTCACGCTCTCCCTCCAACTCATCGCTGTCTTTCTGTTGACAGTTCTGGCCCAGACTGATGGAGGAGATTTCTGAGCTGAGAGAGTTTTATGACCCAGACACTGTGGAGCTAATGGAGTGGATCAGGTAAAGCAGCTGTAATCTTCCTCTTACACACTACAAGCAAACTCTCGCAGACAACGATCAGACAAGAGGTCTGCAACCTTAGGCATGCAAGCCACCGATGGCACTACGAAGGGTACTCATTGGCATCGATAAGAGCGTGAGATTAATATTATATGAATTTTTAATTTACTTAGTTGTTTATTTTAGAAGTGTTGAAGTCCCTCGCATCTGCATGCCAAACTTCTTTTGCAGTAATCCATCCTTATCACACAATCTTTTTTATTTAACTATACGCTGTGTGGACTGTGATGGAGTTGGGTTGGGTAGGTCCACTTCAGCTGGGGTTCATCACTAATATTTCATATCGAGACATAGTGTCAGGTCACACTTTTTGCTCATTTATTCTGAAAATCTTTAGCATAAACCTTTGCAATTTTGCATTATTTGAATTATTGTAGTTACATTAAAAAAATAAATAAATAAATAAAAACCAAACATTACAGAAGATATTTTTACTTGCCTTGCTCTAATTTTATTATTGTTGTTAAAACAATAAAACTACATTTTTTTATTAAAACTCTATTATTTTGGAAGATGTTACATATGGCTACAGTAAGTGGATTTTTCATAACATTATTATAATAAGAATTCTAATAATCCCTGTTGTCCCATAATCACCTGTTTTATTCATTCAGCTGAGGTTCATCACTAATTTTTGATACCGAGACATTTATTCTGAAAATGTTTAGCATAAACCTTTGAAACTCGTTACTTTTTGTCAGTTAAATTTATAACATACAGTGGTGCTTGAATATGTGTGAAAGTAGACAGAGAATCCAATCAAACAAATGAGACAGAAAATATTTTCTTTGTTATTTATTTATTGAGAAAAATGATCCAGTGTTAGATATATGACAAAAGTATGTGAATCTTTGCTTTCAGTATCTGGTGTGACCCCCTTTTGCAGCAATAACTGCAGG